CAGCTACCTTACGGAGATTGTTTCACGAATACTGGTTAAGTTATCTGCAAGCGCCGGAGAATACCCGCTCTTCCCGCCGTCTCCTCTTCCAGCCCTCACTTCACTTCACGCTAAGCGCCGCCCAGCCAGCCGCCAGTCACTGTAGTCCTCGATACTGTGTACAATATGGACCATCCATCCATTGTAATGTGTAGTGAATGGAACAACCACCATTTCAATTGGATGCCTGTGACATCACGAATTTCTCAGAGCTCGCAGATCTCCCTCGTGCTTCCAATCCCCATCCCTAGTTTGCTAGCATCAGGCCCATTAGCTGCATGTGAAATGCCTAGGTATCCATCATTCTTCTACACCTCACGTGCCTCACCATGGCCAAGTCTTCAACGTAGCTCTGGTGTAGGTACTGGGCATGTCGATCTTCACTTGCAATTCCATCTTCACTGCATATGCATAAGAAGAGAGAGAAAAGGGAATCAATCGTCAGTTTATAAGTACTACAGAATTGTAAGTGACATGCACATATTGCATCACAACATCAGCATCAATCCAACAACATACAAGTTCATATGCAAACACACCCTTTTCAAGCATCACAACCCCTCCCCGCAGAAACCATCCGCTCCTCGCGCACAATAACATCAGGAATATCGACCGTCTCAACCGCTCCCTTGCAGACCTTGTCCATATCAACAAGCTCCTGATCAGTATGCTGCAAGAAAGTCGCCGACTCTGTGAGAAATCCCTTGTGCCCAAACGTGTCAAATTTTTGCCCAACCATGCGACGAGCACGCATCTCGTCACGGGCAGCACGAATGCGTTGCTCCATGATCTCGAGACGGTACGCTGCAAAGTCGTAGTAGAGCTCATTCAAGTCTGACACGGGACGCACAGTCCGCAGTACTGTATCATCCTTGATGAACGGCGAGCGAGGACGCCATGAGGTGACTGCAGTGATACGCTCCCTTGCACCGAGGGCACGCAATGCCTGATGAGTAATGTACCGACCCTGTAGAATCACTGCGCTACCCTCCGTTGGCCCACGAACACGAAGGACATCGCCGTTGCCAGTGCGAAGTGCAGTCTCGCCGCCCACCATATTGGTGCAGTCGGACATCATGAGTACGCAGACAAAAGGGTAGGAGTCGGTGTGCCAGCCGACAATGGGCTTGTCAACATCTGTGCCCTCTGAAGACCTCATGTCGATACCCTCGTCGGTGTGTACACGCTTGTGACATCTTTCATGGTGGACGCTAAGTTCAGAATTGGCCTCTTCTTCGGACTTGACGGAGAGGTTGATGTGTGCAATCTCGTAGTCTCCCCATGGGATGAGGTCGATGCCCGCGAGTGTGGACATGATGGCAACGGTGCTAGGGTGGTTCCACGCAGCGTAGGTAAAGGGCGCATGGTCACGAGCGTAGCCTCGAAGTTGAGCGGCGGCAATGTTGCTGCTGAAGGTGTGGTTTGCAATGACCTCGGATTTTGCAATTTCTGAACGCATGATCCGGATCGCTTCGGATGAAAAGAGTGGGAATGCTTGTGTTACTGCTACAGGAGAGACGCCAATGTCAGAAGAAAATCCAATGTCCTGCATGGTGAGGGTATCGGGGGTCTTCTCGAAGATGAGGTGCTGCTTCGGGTTGAATACTGGCGTATCTTGTGGACCATTCAGTCTAAACAAGCCGCTCTCCAGGGCAACGGCCTGGCTGGAGATGATTTGATGTGAGCTAGGGGAAGCCATTGCCTTCGAATACAGGGCTTAGACGGGTGTTATATTAGCCACAATGAGCGGCAGATCAATGGTGTAGAAAGCTCGGTGATGTCGGTTGTGTCAAGAAATCGAGATCTCGACTGGAGAGTAGCTGAGCCTGTTTGTACATAAAACTGTTGAGAAACGACTAAGGAAGATTACGGCGAGCGTAAATTGGTGCGAGTGAATCAATCCGGCAAATTGCATGTTATGCTCACTTGCCTGCAAACAAAATGGGGGGCTTGACTGAAGTAGCGCAGTGTAAAAGGTGATCTGGACAAAGTACAATTTCCGTTCTCGCAGATGAAGAAAGTTTAAGTATTGACACACATGGATAGCAAGGTGCTGTTGAGAGCAAAGTGAAGAGACATAAGGATGTGCCGCACTATGGGCCGAGATGAGGCAAGACAACGAGGGTAATACATAGTATCAGTGTCTCAATCGAGCAGTAAAACTGCGGGCGAGATAACATTCGAGCTATGAGGCAACGAAATAAGCGGAAGTCACATACCTCTGTTTGCTGTACCACACTGCCTAGTATCGAAGAGATCGCAGGTCCTGATATAAATGGCAGAAGGTTGCGATGGTGGCGAAGCGCTCATGAAGAAGTATTTGTATGATAGGTCTCATACTAATGGAAAGATCAATTCTGAAACTTCTGTTGGTTTTCACCACCTTACATTGGGTCCGTCGGTAATATATTGTCCATGGTCATTAGGCCCTCGCAATCTGCAAAGCACTTGTCAATGGCAACGGCCATGTGTCCCCGGATTCAGTTGGTCCAGGCACCGTAGAGTTGGGTCCATGGACAGCATTGTAGAAGGACCGACACTCTCACGATCGAAAAGATCAGGTCGTTTGATACATTGGCCACTGCTGTTGTCAGTTCATGCGGAGATCGGATGAAATCATCGTCGCCACAGATGTTACTAACCAACATTCCATGACTTCAAGTGTACTCGAGCCACTCATTATGGTATGATCAGTGCCCATAGGCTTCATCAGCCAGACTTCAACGTTTAACCTTGTTCGCATACAAACTTGTCCCTTGACCGACCTCACATGTATTCACCTCGCTTCTGAAGCATTTGACCATCTTTGCTTTGAGCACAGACCTATGAGATTCCGCCTACCCACAAGCAACGATCATTACCGCTCACGGAAGTCTTCTAGCCTGCAAGCCTTAGACTATGCCGACCCGTAAGCATGGTTGAAGCGAGCTAGACAAAGCCCTTCATGCGCTTGTCGGTCGAGTCTAGACAAGCACTCAATTCCAAGGTCACAGGGATCGGATGATATAGAATGTCTGTGGTGGATTTCAAAGTCGGGTAGTGGCGTCGAGGGTTGAGTGAGGGGAGGTTTGGTTGTTGTGAATATTTGGGTTGATCGACTGAGCTTGATAAAACAAGGACATGATGTTTATCCTACAACAGTATTAGGATGACATGACAATAGCCTCTTTCCACTCTGTTCGGGCGATGAGACTTTTACACTTCTGGTCATTGTATTCCTTGTCGACGTTGTGTGGTTGTTTGGAGATGTTTGGAAACAACTGTACGGAGCATGGTTGTTGGTGAGTCCGTGTGGCGCAAGTCGGACGTTATCGATAACACCTCACACCTCGTCAGCATGCCAAAAGGTCCCCTCGTCCAGCTCCAGAGGCGCAAAGCTTAGCATGCCATTACGATTGGTTGCGATCTCGCGCAATTCATACTTACTCTGATAATTCCCATTTGTCGAATCGGCCATCATCATGAGCGACAAGCAGCCGTCCTCGACCCCGTCCACGACGCCGTCAAAGGCCGAAGAATGGACCGGTCCCAAGGCGCAGAAATACGACAAGTATGTTCCTACATACCGGACCGCGGTCTCAGGTGCTCGGAGCTAGGAACTGATGCCTCAAACAGCAAAGCATATAGCGAGTATTTTGACCCTTGTCAAGAAGCGGCAGACAAGAGCATCCGGTGTTTGAAGCGCAATGGCGGCGAAAGGGCAATGTGCTCGGACTTCTTCCAGTGAGTGAGGATGTAGCTATGGGCACAAGAGAGTTTAGGCTGATAAGATTTCAGAGCGTATAGGGAGTGCAAAGAGCAATGGGTACGTCTACCTCTTATGAGAGACTTGCACGGACAAATGTCACGATCGCCCTCGTCGTCCCCGCTACCACCGCACGCTTCTCAAACCGCATCACTCGGGCTGACATGTTGATATAGCAAGCGGCAAGAAGAGAGGCGAGGAGGAATAAGCCGTGGTTCTGATGAGAGCCGAGGATAGTGTAATGTGTAAATAGGTTGGTTGTACAATATCTCCTCTCTGCATGGCATGGCGTTATGGGACAAGCTGTTTGAGACGGCTACCAGCTGTGAGGATGGATTATCATGAATTTTGGCAGGCTCTAGAGAATTAGGGACGAGCCCATGTTGGCTATACGCCTGGTATCGACTCTTCCATGTACTGTTGAACGTGTGTCGCGAAGTACATATAGTATCGACAATAATGCCACGAAGCTTAGCATCTCGCTTCAGCCCTATGGAAGCTATTCACTGTACAATACCGGTACACGGCACGCCTACTACTTGACTCCAACCATGTAATCTTACATATACTACGGTACTACCGACTACCGGTGTAGTAGGTAAGCTCTAGAGTACTGCAAGTACTATATTAATACGCTGACGTACTCATCCATCACGCAATCCCCACCCTACGCACTGCAACCCAGCCCCAACTCACCCTCTTGAGTATAGCCACAGATAATCCATTGGTTTCTGCCCCTCCATCCCCGCCCTGATCATCTTGCCCTTGCATAAGCGTCGTGGCTGTGCATCAGCAGGCACGATCTGAGCTACCCCACTACCCCTCTCCCTCCATCACTCCCTTCTCACTTACCTACTACACTGCAAACCTCTCCCTTCTCTCCTCTCCTCTCCTCTCCTCTCCCCATCCCGCACACCTCCCTCTCATGCGAAACTTTCTCAACCCACAACGCATCAGTCAGACCACAACCCGCCTCTTCAGCATCTCTCGAATCAACATGGGTGTCGAAAAGATTGTCATCGCCGAGGGCAAAGGCCCTTCGCCACAAAAGGGCGATACCGTCACCATGGAGTACACTGGCTGGCTGAAGACGGCCGGCCAGCCAGACGACAAGGGCAAGCAATTCGACTCTACGACCGGCCGTGGACCTTTCCAGACCGCTATTGGTGTAGGACGCGTTATCAAGGGTAAGCTGCAGTTCGCAGCCGTGGCACAACGCACGGGTTGACAAAGACTACGTACATGTTGCTGACACAAGTCCCAGGATGGGACGAGGGCGTTGTCCAGATGAAGCTTGGTGAGAAGGCGAGGCTCAACATCACCAGCGATTACGCATACGGTGCTCAGTACGTCACTCCACATCGATGCAGTTCCGGCTGCTTTCACAAGATGAAGTTACTAACCAAATGAACAATAGGGAGTTCCCCGGCCTGATTCCTCCCCACTCTGATCTCATCTTGTACGTTGCTCCATTGCACCGTTTCCTCCCAATTCGAACCACAGCATGTGCTAACACAGCTGCAGCGAGGTCGAGCTCAAGAAGATCAACTAAGTGGCAATGCCCCTTGGCGACGACGGAACGACATCATCTATCATGGCTCTCTAGCTTGGATGCAGGATGGAGCGGGGAGCTAAAGTAGCTGCTCGTTCTTCAGCGCGTTCATGGATATCCTTTCCGTATTGGATAATATCAGGAATCCGGCAAGAGAACAGCCATCATGTAGATTTGGTCAGCCATGAAGGCTTATACTGTCACCATCAAAATAAATGCCCAATAAACGTTGGATTCTCTGTTCGGCTCTCTCCACCATCTGAACCCCAATATGTCTGTGATCACGAAAAGAAGTGGACCCCAACAGTAGAAGAACCTACTCTAGTCAGGTACTTACCTACATAACTACGTCCACCTCTCCCTGTGAAGCTGAGCCTTTTCTCAGTTAATCGAAAAATAAGCAAGGTCAAGAACACACAGAGTCAAACTGAAAAGAAAAAACTCAAGTTTGCTAACTCTATGTTAAACATTACCCTTAAAAAAAGAAGACCCAAATGGCCCACCTCCGTTCGCCCATTGAACCAATCCAACCACCCCATTCAACCTCACGCCTTCTTTTTGGCCTTGCCACTCTTCCTCCTCCTCTCCCCATCCTTAGCACCACTCCCAACACTTCCCGAAGCCGTAGCCGTAGCCGTAGCCGTAGCCGCAGCCATGGTCCTAACACCCGCAGCCCCAACATCCCCACCCGACGGAACCTCAACACCCAATCCCCACTCCCCCGTTTCCCCACCCGACGTCACAAACCCACTCGAAGAGGCCATCGCACTTCTCTGCAGTGCCATAGGCGCAGAGGTAGACGCAGACGTAGGTGAAGACGTGGGAACAGGCACCCGTCTTGGCATACTGCTATAACTTGCGTCGCTCAGTGCGCCCGAGCTAACTCGCCTTATATACTGCGACTGCGACTGCGACGGCGTCTGTGTGTGCGAGCTAGTCGGTGAAGTGGGCGCTGGGCTAAACGCCTGGTATTGGTACATTTCAACGGGAAACGGGACGGCGCGCGCCGCCTGCTGTTGTGCATTAGTGGAGAGAAGGCCCTGGGCCTCGAGTTGGCGTTCGCGGGCATAGGCTTGTTGGCGGGCAGAGAGGGAGGGAATGTTTGGGTTTTGGGGTTGGAAGGATGCTTCGTGCTGGCTGGGTGTGGGTGGGCGGTAGGTGTGCTCTGAGCCTGGGAAGGCGCCGAGAACTTCGCGTGGAGGCATTGGTTGGTGCGCGGGCTGAGGTGGGAGATTGCCAGATGTTGAGCGGGACGTTGTGCGTGAGGAGGCGAGTTGTTCACGGGGTGAAGGGATCGAATCGCGCGAGACGTTGCCTTGGTATGCGTTTATCGGGGCGAACACGGGCTGCCCATCTGGTCCAGGAATCATGAAACCAGGCGAGCTCTGGCCTGGTATGGGACTTGTAATGCTAGAAGAATTGGAGACACGCTTTCGATGGCTGGACTTGTCCTTGTCCTTTTTCGATTTGGACCCGAGGCGCGAAGTTCGTTCCTTTTCTTTCTTCGGCCGAGAGGAAGAATGAACATGTTTAGTCTGTGCGTTTGCAATGCTCGCTGTGTCATTCAAATAGGCGTCAGTAGGTCGAGACACTGGTGGAGGACGCGCAGCAGGCGTCCTTGCACCGTGAAGCTTTGACTGGTACGCATCAAGCTCTTCTGTACTTAATTGAACGTCTTCATTGCCTGCAGCTCTTGCTATGCGGATCTTGTCGAGAACGCGCTGGAACAACATTTCTTCATAGTCCTCGGGGGATAGCACTTCGCCCAAGTCCTCGTAGTAACCTTCGTCCACGTCTGCAAATCCAGGGTAAGGTTCGTCGTAGGCTGATGCCCTTCGTTCCCACGCGCGAACATCCATATCATTAAAGTATAATTCGTCCTGACTAAGGCCCGTTGTATCCAAAACCCGCCGACCTCGGCGGCCTACCTGACGACCATTCTTTTCATCGTCGCTCCCCAATTCCTGAAATCTAAGCACATCGTCCACCCCCTCGTAGTACCTCCCAACACCCGATGGGCCCCCTGGTGGTCTTCCCCAGTGGGGCATAGTGTGTGGAGTTCGCGGCCGACCACCTAGACCGCCTCCTCGGAAAAAGCTGACTCGATGGGCTTGTCCAAAAATGCGGCATGACCCAAGATGGTGACACCGGAGGCTCCGATGAGCCAGAGAACGGTGGTAAAGGGCGAGGCCCATAGACCCAGAGGGACTGCGACGAGGAAGAGAGTGGTATAGAGTTGGGACGTGGTGGCGCGCCAGCTACCCAGTTGCAGGTCGTTACCTTGGAGCTTTCCGATACCGAACATGCCCCCTACGACCAAGACGATGACGAAGAGCAGCATCAGATTGGTGAGCAGGCTGTATATGCTGAGCATGACGAAGACGGCGGCATAGTTGCTGGAGAAGTAGCCCAGGTTGTAGTTGACACGGCTCTGGACCTCACCAAAGTTGGCTGGCTTAGAGACGCGCTTGACGTCGAAGAACTCGGAGATGGGGCGCAGATTGGCGAATCGCGAGGACACGGAGGTGTTGCTCAGGCTGTCGAAGCGTCCACTGAGGTTCAAGCGCGACGTCAGGGCGTCGATGGGGATGCTGAAACGAGACATGATGGATGTAGATGCGGGCGGATTCAGAGTGGGCTGAGGAGCTGGATAAGGTGATGGTTCGTCGTCGGCGGGAATGAGAGTCTGATGTTGGGCTTGGCGTTCTGCAGGAGTAGACATGGTCAGCTGGTTTGACGTGTGCGTGTTGGATGGGTAGGTATTTGTCAAATGGTAACAAGAGGGAGGAGGGCCAAGGCCAGGCAATGGCCGAATGTTGAGCGAGATGTGTCCTTTTCGCAGTGGATCCCGTGAGGGAAACTGTATTCTTCTATTGCTCTATAAAAGAGAGTGGCGTGCTTACCACGGAAGTCGACGGCGTCGCAAACACAGAGTGGCAAGCAGACGCGTGTGGAGGCGAGAGAGCCCAGTTGGGTAGTGGTTGTTTGGTAGTGAATGTGTTGTGTGGGCTGAGGCTTGAGCAGATAGATACTTGCTAGTACCAGAGTAGGTATGGGGGTGGTGTGTACAGTATCAGTAGAGTATGTGGGTAATGGGTGTGGGCTGGCCTCGGGTGGGATGACGGGGGCTCAAAAGGCCAAGATTCAGGGTCAAAGGCTTCAAAAAGGCCCAGGCAAAGCAAGGCCAGGCAAAGCAAGGCCAGGCAAAGCAAGGCCAGGGACAAAGTCTGCTAAACTAAATGCATAGATAGGTACTTGTGTAGAGGCCACCTTCGATTTTAGGTAGCGGGGGAGGAATGAAAGGCGAACGGCTCTTTTGATCCTGCACTGCTCGCTTCGATAGTTGTTGCAACAGACAGAGTGGCAACAGTGACGACCACACGTTGAGTGTGCCTGTGTCTTGTTACTTTTTGTACCTCCTGCTCACATACCGGTACACTCTACTTTACTCTGCCAACCGTATAGTACTCTACTCACCCGTCCCACTACACACAGTAGTAAGCCGATTGGGCCACGTTCACTCTTCTCTCTCCCTCGAGCCGGCCTCATCGTGTACGTACTAGCACTGTTACTGCCGACGACAAGGCCGCACAAGCCTGCAGTCTCCCTACCGGTAAGGGCCCAAGGGAGCTGGCTAGTTCTCACCTCCGAAAGCTCCATCCCGCCAGCTCTCAGGCACCTCTGCAAGCAACCGTCCAACCATGAGGTCCCACGCTCTTCTCGCTCTGGTCCTCTGCATCTTTGCAGCTTGTGCAGCTGCCTGGAACAAAGAAGGTACTATTGCCCATTACCCATTGCCCATTATGACACTTGTTCACCACCCACGGTTTTTGGTTGTTTGGACACATCTCCCTAGCCACACAAACAACAGCTCGACATCTCTAGCCACATACGCACACATCAACACCTCCACATGCCATTGCACATGTCGACTCTCGCACCTCGCTGACACCCACACTCCTACCAGACCATGAGATCTTCCGTCTTCGTGATGAAGTCGCCAAAGCAGAGGGAAGCAACGTAACATTCTACGACCTCCTCGGCGTCAAGCCTGGCGCGTCCCAAGAACAGCTCAACAAAGCCTACCGCAAGAAGTCGCGCGAACTGCACCCCGACAAGGCCCGTCAGGCTTTCATCGCAAACTATGCAAAGAACAGCGGGAAGAAGGGCAACACGCCCGGCGTCAAGGTCAGCAAGGGGCCTTCAAAGAGGGAAATCGACGCGCATATGAAAAAAGTCACGACCCGCTACCAGAGGCTCTCGGTTATCGCCAATATCCTCAAGGGGCCAGAGCGAGAACGCTACGATCACTTCTTGAAAAATGGCTTTCCCGCTTGGAGAGGTTCGGGATACTACTATGAGCGCTTCCGCCCAGGTCTTGGTTCCGTCATCGTTGGCCTTCTCCTCGTTTTTGGCGGTGGGTTCCACTACTTTGCCCTGCTCATGGGTTGGAAGCGTCGCAAAGAGTTTGTCGAGCGCTACATTAGGCATGCACGCAAGACGGCCTGGGGCGACGAGACAGCTATCCAAGGTATCCCCGGTATCGACGCCACGCCCGCCGTGAACGCCTTCCCAGAAGAGAGCCCCGAAGACACCCCCGACGAGAATGCCCCTGAAATGGTTCCCCGCAACCGCCGTGAGAAGCGCGCCATGGAAAAGGAGGACAAGAAGAAGGGCAAAAAGGTCATTTCCACCCGCAGCAAAGTCCGCACCGCCGACATCAGCGCGCCCGTAGAGCCAGAAATCACTTCTGGTCCCCAGGGAGCCAAGAAGCGCATCGTAGCCGAGAACGGCAAAGTCCTCATCGTCGACTCAGTCGGCAACGTCTTCCTTGAAGAGGAAACCGAAGAGGGCGTCAAAGCCGAATTCCTCCTCGACGTAAGTCCTCCCCATTTCCCCGATTCCCCAACAATGCATACATCTATATGCAAAGCACCCAATCAACTGACTGACAAAACAACGAAACAGCCTGAAGAAGAATCTAAACCCACCATCTACGATACGCTCCTGTTTAAGCTCCCCAAGTTTGCATACAACCAAACAGCCGGCCGAATTCTGGGCAAGCAGCAGCTAGTCGATGAGCCGCTCCTCGACTCGAACAATCTTCCCGAGGAAGACGCCGCGCTCGCCAATGCCACATCGTCTAATCTTAATGGCGAAGCAAGGAAACGAAAGACCATTGCAAAGAAGGCGAGGTAGAATTGTCCAGGCTGCTGGTGCTGCTGGTCGAAACAGGAAAGGGGGGTCTTGGTGTATGGATACTGTTCTGCAGGGTTGGGTTGGATTCGATCGACCCTGACGAATATTTCCAATCCCACTTGCACTTCCAATTTATGATACATCACATCGTCCGGACATCGACCAGCCAACCTCCCAACCGCTCCTTCCCTCCCAGCTAAAAAGTGCCCCCCCAAAAGCCCAAAAAGCAAAGTTTTTGTACAATAAAGAAAAGAATGAGCATGCCTTTTAGCAACCCAAAACTGAAAACATCCACCCACAAAAAGAGTAACAATTGCATGAAGAGTGAATATCGTTCAGGCTTCTTC